CCGCCAGGCCGGGGTCGGCGGATAAGGACAGAATAAGATCTATTGGCAGGCGCAGAGGAAGAGGTAGGTACTGGTTGGAAGAGGGTTGTCACAGATTCTATCCTGAAGAATTCCTAGACCATACCGCCTCTAACACTAACTGGCGGTACGTTTTGATCAAAAGGAATCTCAGTGAATCCTCTTTAGGGCAGGCGCCAAAGCGCGCACAAGCAGCGTTGCGCGCACGGCACTAGCAAAAAAGTGTTTCTGGGAGGCACAGGTGGGGAGGGTGAGGATGGTTACGTTAAGTTGTGTTCGTTCTTAGTAGCGTTGCGGGTAAGGGTTGGGGTTCATGCAGGAGTAGATGAGTGGATTCAATTTCTGGGCGAGTTATCTTACCCTCTTTGTCTTACCTGGATCTAAATGCCCCAGGCCTCCCGCCTCGCCGGATGCGATGCATTTGACATTGTGTATGATGTTCAATGGGCTCGCCGGAAGAGGCACATTGCACACTGGAAATCTTACCAATCCCTAATTTACTCAAGGACTCGCAAGACCTGGCAAACTTCGGCTGAAACACGCGCTGAAACAAAGTAGTGTCAAGCTCTGCAAAAAAAAAACGACCATGACGCCAAGTTGAAGAATACCTGTCATGAGGTGGCTGAAAGTGTTGCAGGCGTATGTCAAACGCAAAGAGCAAAGTCACTGCAACATGCCCGAAAGACTACTGCAAAAAGTCTGTTTACCTAACTAGATGTTACCTTGTTGTTTGAGGCCTTGATCGATCGCTGTGATCGTGATGGAGGATCCCAGCCGTAGCTTCCCTGTCTTGGATGTCAGTATCATCTTGCATTCACAGCGTGTTGAGGACATTTTCTGCTAGTTCCGGGCCCTCTCGGGCCAAGACTCTTCAGAGCAGGGTGACCACCCTAGCTGGCATGTTGCTGACAATTTTTTATAAGACTAATAGTGGCCTTATCCGGTGGAACGTGGACATGTTCAATGATCACTGGCTAAGGCCAGAGTCTGACGACGACAATGCGGAGGTTGACGAGGCCTCACCGGAACATGCCACGTGCTTTGTTCTCCCACCGTCCGTTGACTTCTGGGTTTAGAGCATGCAGAGGCTGCACCTTCGCACCACGTCTTGAAGAATCATCCACTGTTTTGCCTTCTAACGAGCAGACTTGGTGTAGTGTGAAGGTCGTGGGTGCGATCACTGGAATGTTGACTTTGCCAAGCCAGGTCCTCTGAATGAGTTTGTGCGCATAGTGATTTATGGTCCGCCAGCCTGACTTGCGGCAGCACGCGGCAGCCATTTCTGAGCAGAATCGTTTGAATGGAGATGTGAGCCCTGAAAATTACGGACACGGCAGTACAATGAATAACAATACAAATCAGGCTCGGAAAAAGCCCCAGATGCATACCTTCATAGCTTCGGACGCTGTAGCTCGCCATGGAGGCAAGCTATCCAAAGGGGTGCATCCCAAGTGAGGCATCTGCTGACGAGCCGGCAAAGAACTGGTCCAACAGCTCCGCATCGCAGGTCTCAAGATTTTTGCGCGCAGCTAGTTTTCAAGAGCTTCATCATGCATTGGAGCCGGTGACAAGTGTGTCTGCCAGAGCATCAGTTCGCACAGCGTTGGATAGCGTTTGCAAGGACACTCAACTGCTGACAGAAGCAAACAGCAGTGTCCACTGGATCGAAGCGTTACTTGCATTTACCTTACCCCTGCTCGTGGATGCCCTTCCGCGAGACCAACGTGGGACAAGCGTGGTCCCTCATCCGCATCCATTGCGAAAGCATGTCATGGACGACTCTGCCCGAGCCGTGACCATTACCGGCCAGATGATTTTTGAGACGAATTGTGCCTGTGACAACTGTGATGTGTTGCTTGGCATGGGCTTGGCAAGTTCCTAGCTTTGTCCAATCTTGCGGCGTTGCTCATTTCTTGTTCAGTTAACTCACAAACAGGCACATTACAGACAGGGAGTTCTGGAAGTGCCAGGATGGCTGCGATGTTGATTTCTGCAACAAGTGCTACGAGCAGCTTGAATCGCTTTTTGTTCGTTTCGACATGGAGCATGCGCGGTGGGCCGTGCAATTTGTGTGGTTTATTTCGCATCAGATCCTCCTAGCACCTCCAAGCGATCGAGAACTGATTGTGCGAGACCTTGCCTTCCAGTGGCCAATTGAAATGTTCCAGCAGCTGGTGAGGGCAGTCGTCGACGTTGCAGATGCCAGTGTAGTACATGTGGAGGACAGCTGTTGTTTTTGCAAGCTTCTTGGATTTAAGGTTTTCCAGCCTAGAGCGCCCGTAGGTGCCATGCTGCCAGGCTGGGCTTTGAGGACCTCACTCTTGAAAGGCCTCGTCCCACGCAGACGTCCTTTCAACCCCTTTGCAGCTGCAAGGACATCAAGAACATTGCGGGAGGCACTGGCTTCTGGCACACAGTGGGCTTCCTGCAGATCTTGGACGCTGCAAACAGGTTGCCAATAGCGGAACACCGCTTGGGACAGATCTACTCAGAGGGGGCTAGGTTGCCCGATCCCTCGACCTTCATACTTCGAGGCATCGATAAGTGCAGTGCACTTGGGGACTGGCATAGGTGGCACCAGGCTCAGGAGCAGGGCGAAGAAAGCAGCGATGCATTGCGTATGCATCCCTTCCAGATCAATACGCAGTTTACCTGCTTTCTCACCCATGGCATCTTGGTACCGGAAGTCTTCCGGCGCCAGTGCGCAATATTTGACGTCAGAAACGCGGCGATGAGCTTCAGACCGAAGAAAGAGTTTCGCCGGCTGACGGTGACCCGCCAGCCAGCATCGCAGCTCCTTCAAGGTGTGGTGGCTGCTTTGGGCACTCCCTTTCAAATAGGGATCAAGGTTTGCTTGCAAGGCTTAGGTGCCCAGCCGATGCTCAACGGCAAGCTTGGCACCCTGGATAAGTTTGACGATGCAGCTGGAAGGTGGCAGGTAAAAACAGACGAAGGCAAGGTACTGAAGGTCCGCCCGCAGAACTTGAAGCGCGTTGATGGTGAGAACCTATTTGAGCACACCAGCCAGCTGTTTCAGGTGATATTTTCCGGTGAGCCCGCATCAGGTCCGGGAGTCAACAAGGAACTCATTTGCCTCGCATTTCGCTGTGCCCTGGAGCAGTCAGATCCGGTCAGGCCATGGCTCTACAATGAGGAAAACCGTACCCATTGGTTCAATGATCAGGTGGAGGGTTGTGAAGATACCTTTCGAGCCACTGGCGCTTTACTTGGACATGCCATCGCGAACGACTGCTTTTTGCCATCGGTTTTCCCGGTGGCATTGTACAACCTACTGCTGCGCGCGATGTCCTCGCCTTACGTACGGCCTTGGTCGCTTGTGGAGCTTGCAGGGGTAGACTCGGCAATTGCACGCAGCCTGGAGCACCTGGTGGAGTACGAAGGCGAGGACATCAACGAACTTTTCGGCCTGGACTGGTCAGGGGCGCGGAATCTGTGTGGCATGTCGAAGGATGAACGTATGGATTACGTGCGCGAGTATGTGAGCTGGTTCTTCGAGAAGCGATCTGCTGACCAGCAGCACTCATTCTGTGAAGGTTTCTGCGAAGTGGCTGGCCGCTCGCAAATGGTTCGTCGCCATGTGACCATAGAACAGCTGGAACGTCTCATCTGCGGTGTGGAGCAGGCTGTGAGCGTGTCAGCCATACGAGAAGGAGCTGTTTTGTTGGGCTGGGAATCGGATGAGGAACCCTACATCGCAGCATTCTGGGAGCCTCGAGCCATCTTCATGGACCTAAAGTCCTAAAGTATCCTAGAGCAAGAGGGGGAGAAGGCTGGACATCTATCCCATCAATATCAAGGCTTACGAGGTGGGAGGGCAGGTATCCCCCATTCTTAATAAGTGCAGATATGGGGTGGGGAGGTGGTATTCTGCGCTTTTTCACTTGCACTTTCCAGTACCTGCCCAGAGTAGAGAAAGTGTTGATGAGTTTTGGGGGAGGTATATGGTAAGCCATTGGAATGCATGCAGGAGGCAAATCACGAAAGCTAGCGGAGCTAGGCTTGAGTTTAGTCTTGCTTTAGTAGTTGTGGCTGTCGAGGGGTGGGAGGGAGGGGGGGACGGGGCGAGGGTGGTGGGGGGGAGGGGAGTGGGGCAGGGAGTGGGGGAGGGAGGAGGGGCAATGTGATTCTTTCTGCGAGAGGTTCGTAGGAATAGCGTCATGTTCGG